AGTGATGCACGTGCACATGGACACACAGTGATGCCTGTACACATGGATGCACATGTGCTTGCACATGTATTGCACATGTATTACACAGACACATGTTTGCACACAGATGTATTGGGGGACACACATGGATCCACACACAGATGCACACATGGATGGAATCCACTGCCTCACACCCCCAAGGGACACAGATGCCACCTGCCCATAAAGCCCTGGTAGGACTTGGCATTGCCTCCCCCTCTCCCTGCATCCTGGAAAAGTCAGCAGGATGGGCTCAGGTTTTCCATATACCTGTCAAATACCTTCTCCATATTTCTGCTGTAACGACCTGCTAAAAGCACCTCGCTCCTCCTCCCCAGCCCAAAACCATCCGGCCTTGAGCTTTGGAGAGATTAAGTCATAAAAATCGGAAGGGGCTGTGCAGTAACAGCCCCTGCCTGAGCCATAACAGCAGTGAAATCATCCCCAAACTATGTCAGCCCTGGCCATTTCCAGTCCCACGTCACACCTGAGCCACCGGCACGCAGTGAAAGAAAACACTGGGGGATGGTTTCCTGATCCCAGAGTGGCTGTACAGGGACAGGGGCAGGAGAAGGACAAAAATAACATAGACGTTAAAAATATCGAAAAGTAATATATCAAATATTGAAAGTATACAAAATGCAAAAATAATATATAATGTGTAAAACCAATATGGATAAACATAGAACCGATGCATAAAATATAAAAACAAGGTATAAAATGCATATAAAATCAGCGGTGTGGTTAAAGCTTGTCAAGCAGCCAGCACCCTTCCCAAGGAGTCAGAACCTCTCCCAAGGAGCCTCTGTTCCCAGGTCTGTCAAGCTCTCTGCCCTCCTGTCAGAGCCAGACTAGCCCTAGTGCCCATCAGCATCACCAAACGCTGGATTTAGAGAGGGACAAATCCTTTCCTGGCCGTAGCTAAATCGTGATGCTGCAGCACTGACACCATGGGAAGATGCCTGCCCAAACCACTGCTGTGTCTGTATTAGCCTGAATCAGGTTGATTTGGGAAACTTCTTGATAAATTTGATGCCAAAACAGTGAGTGTAGGTGATAAAGGCTAGGTGGAACACCAAGGGATGGGAGGAAGGAACATCTGACTCAGGTCTTTCTGCCTGATGGTATCTGTCCAAAACCCTGCTCCATTACATTTCTTCTCTCCTTTCCCTTCTCTGTTACTTCCCTGTGATCTGGGATAGGGCTGACAAGAAAGAAGGGGCTTTCACAGCAGCTCTGGCCTCAATATGGTGTATCCTTGGTGCATTTATAGTTGGGAATGACCATCCATCACAATCCAGTACATGTTCTAGTCGCACGGCAGCATCCTTGGGCACAAATCATAGAATCCCAGAATGGTTTGAGTTGGAAGAGACCTTAGGGATCATCTTGTTCTGGCCCTCTGCCATGGGCAGGGACACCTTCTACTAGACCAGGTTGCTCCAAGCTCCATTCAACCTGGTCTTGAACACTTCCAGGGATGGGACATCTACAGCTTCTCTGGGCAACCTCTGTGCCAGTGTCTCACCACCCTCATTCTAAAAAATTTCTTCTTATATCTAATCTAAATTGATCCTCTCTCAGTTGAAAAACCATTCTCAGCTGTTTTGCAGCACATGTACTTTGGGAAGCTCCTGTCTGTGCCCATCCAAGCACCCAAAACCAGGGCATGCTGCACCCAAATTGCTCCAGAGTGAGGAACCTTAGCCAAAAAATCCTCCCATGGGTTTCTAGCCATCCTCTGAGATGCAAGGCGAGCTGGCATGGCCCGAGCCCTGGGGAGAGAAGGGAATTTCTGCTGCAGAAAAATGACTTAATGTTTCCTCTGTGATGCGACGGGCCACTGGCTCCCCCCAGCACGGCAGGGCAGCTGGGTGAGGACCAGCGTGCGCATCACTGCTTTGAACCACAGGAAGTGACCGCATCCTCGCCTGGAAGGTACCTGGAAGCTGGGGGCTGGAAAATAACTCAGGGCTTTCTTCTTTCCCCCCCTCACCTCCTTCCTCCCAGGCCGCTTCGGGGAGCAGAGCGGGATGGAGCTGCTTCCTTTCATAGTCATCGGCGGCGGCACAGGATGCTTCTCATTTGGTGTTGTGTTTGTTTGCTGCAGTGAGGGTTCTGGCACTCCCCGGGCGCCCGCCAGCCCTCCCGTGTAGGTAGTGAGGTCATTTTTCCATGTATTCCCCTTTTTACATACTGTATATGGAAAGACAATGAAGCGCCTTTGTGGCGTTCCATGGGAACGCGTCGCCAGCCCCCAGAGTGGTCCCGTTTATTAGCACTTCACATCGAACAACAACAAAAAAAAAAAAAGTGAGTCAGGATTGAGTCCTGTTAACACTAATGTGAGTTTAATTTAGGAGAAGCTTGAAAATTAATGTCATTTGTTAAATATCCATTTCCCCTAAAAGGCAATTCTTTGCCAACAACAACAACAAAAAACTCTTCTTCTATTCAATTTTTTTGGATTTTTTTTTTTTAAATAGCCTTTTTTGGTGATATCAGCCTGGTTTAAATCAACTCAGTGCTCAAGGAACGGATGCCACCCGGTTTTAAGCAACAGATTGTTGTTTCTCCTTTTCAAATTGAACAAAAAAAAAATACTGTAAATCATAAAGTGATTCACAAGAGGGGGATGAAGCTCCAGCAAAGCACCAGCAGCTCCAAGCAGGATCTGGCCAGGCATGGTGGTGACTCGGCAAGACCCGCTGCTGCTGGAGTCGGGAAGCAGCCAGGAGCTGGAAAGGCTCTGGAACACAGGTTCTTCTTCTAGCTCCAAGCATTGGAGTGAAGGCATTGGAGCAGCCTGGCTCTATTTTTGGGGAGTTGCATGGGCAAACAGGGCGAGCCATGGCGACCATGCACCGATGTGCTACCAGCTCGCCAAAATAATGACCACACCGAGGCTCATTTCGGAGGAGGGTATCACATGTTTTATTAGATTTGAATCTCAGAACAGCTGCTTTTCCTGTGGAGAGCATCTCCGGGTGGCACGGCGCGGTGCCACGGGGTAGCCACCAGTATCCCATTCTGAGACACCATCCCGCGCCGAGCTGAGCCGAGCTGTGCTCGCGGAGCCTGAGGCGGCTGACGGGGCAGGCGGGTGGCAGCTTGGAAATTAATACATTTGCCAGGTTGTCAAAACATTAATCAACAGATACAAAAATCTGGAAATGGTTGGGACAACATGTATTTGCGGAAAATATGTGTTCGCACAACAAGCACACAAGATGGGAACAATTATATGAAGATGTTTTAATAATTAACCAGTATAAAACAGTTTGCTTTCCATACAGTTCTAGACAATAAAAGTGTTTGCAGTCATATTTTTCTTTTGTACAAAATTCCAGTCAATTGTTCCACAATATTTACATTGTCATTCCCTTTTCACAAAATATCTCCTTTTTTCTCTTCCCCCTCCTTTTTTTTCCCTCTTTTTCTTTAAATCCAGCTTTGCTACATAAATGCTTTAGATCTCATGGATATCCCTCGATTTCTTTTTAAAAAGTCTAATAAAAAAACCCCAAAAGACATTAAATACCATTTTATATATAAAAATGCTTAGTAAAAATATTGTTTTGTTGCCCAATTAAAATATATTGCTGAGAATACAGTAAAAACTGTCCTAAAGCCAGCCCCTAATGGGCACCGACTCTTTAACAGCCCCGGCAAAGACTTCCTAAAAGTTTTGCCCCCCTATGAGTTCTCCTGCCCTTGGGTTAAATACTGGGGACAGGTCACTTTGGCTCATCCTGGTGTGGTTGTTTCAGGCAGGATGAAGTGGAATTGGCTTTAAAATGCCCCTTGGAGCTGGTGGGAGCTAGAGCTGTGCCCTGCCGAGGGCTGGAGCGGGGAACGCGGCGGAGAAAGGCGTCTATCTGTGATATATAGTTATATGGTATATCAGTGAGTTCAGCATGGTCTGTCTCTAAAAAAAAATCGAAATAAAAGTCAAAATAAAAAAGAACAAACAAGAAAGCGATGCATTTAATGAGATACTCTAAATATGATGGAGCTCGTGGTTAAAGGAGGATGGCTTTTTTGTTTCTAGAGGAGAGTCAGGGCTCTCCTGGTGTGCGCATTGGGGCGGTGGGGCCAACCTAACCGGTGATGCAGGGGCTATAGTAAACAGCACTGCTGGCATCGGACAGGGCAGATATCAAACTGCTCTCCTCGCAGGAGATGCTTCTAGGAGTCACTTTGGACAGGGAGACATGGTATGGGAGTCCCGAGGCTTCGGGACGAGTCCTGCTCATGTTCAAATACTGGTCAAACTCGTTGCGGTCAACGTCTGTCCAAAGCTCGGTTTGGTTCAAGTGATCCACGCTCTCCATGTGGTGGGCTTCAGGCGGGGGGGAGAGCTGGCCCAGGTGGGCAGAAAGCCCATTCTGAGTTCCTGAGCACATCTGGTTGTAGTATATGCTGGAGGGATGGGGAGTCCTCATGGCGTCGGCCAAGTGCGAGGGGGTCTGCGCGTAGGGCACGGCCACGTCCCGCCCCATGCACTTCTCCTGGGGAAACTCCATCTGGTGATGGTGGTGGTAGCCGCGAAAGGGCATCATGTTGCAGTCATCCTGCATGTGCGGAGGGAAAAACGCCGGCTCGGTCTGTTCCAAGACATCCAAGGGAGACATCTCAGGAGTTGGCAAGCCATAGTTTTCAATATCCGACCCCATGGAGTGGAGTTCTCTGAAGTGGTTAAGTGGGGGAGGCTGGGGGTGGCCCGGCTGGCTGCCGCCATGGTGACTCATGCTGAAGTTGTCACTGCAAGGCTGGGAAAGGTTATGCAGGAGGATATTGGGTTCCATCCTCTTGATTTTCTTGGCTTGCTTCTTTCTCCTTGGGCGGTACTTGTAGTTAGGGTGATCCTGGAGATGCTGGATTCGCAGTCGCTCTGCCTCTTCCACGAAGGGACGCTTGTCGCTGGCGCTCAGTGCTTTCCATGACTGGCCTGGAAGGGGAAAGAGAAGCTCTGTGATAGAAGCTTGGACATTTGGTACTGGCTGGGGGCTGGGGATGTCTGCAAAGAGGCAGCCCTTGGATGGGAAGGGCTCTCTTGGATAGCTCAGTACCTGAGTGGTGTCCCAGTGCTGGCACTAGGAATGGCTGGCGAATGGGAGCCCAAGCCAGGCTCTTCCCATATCCCAGCAGCAAGCTTGAGCTGTGCCCAGCACTTCAGCACTGTGGGACAATAGGGGTTCAACACCCAAGAGGGCCACGGGAACCCCTGTCCCAGGGCTGGGGATGCTGCCTCTGGCTGCCCCTTGGCACGGTTGAGTCCCCAGCGCACCTACTTCCTTGCATCCCACATCCACATCCCACACCTCTGCAGCCCAAATTGCCCATCCCCAAACCCCACAGCCCTGTATCCTGAATCCCACGTCCCCATGCCCCACAGCCCCATTTCTCCGCATCCTGCTGCTCCGTCTGGCCATATCCTGCTTCCCGTAGTCCCGCATCCTGCGGCTGTCTACCCATATCCTGCTTCCCGTGTTCCCACATCCCGCATCCTACAGTCGTTTATCCCGCATCCTGCAGCCTGTATTCCCATATCCTGCATCCCTGCAGCTGTGCACCCCACAGCCCTGTACCTCTGCATCCCGCAGCCCTGTTTCCCTGCAGCTTGTGCACATGCAGCCCTGTATCCTCCCATCCCACAGCCCCATATCCCCACATCCTCTAACACCACATCCCACAGCCCTCTGGTGCTCCAACCCACAGCACTTGGTCCCACAGTTTTGCATCCTTGCAGCCCACACCCCTGCAGGCTGCATCCCTTCATCCCATATCCCTACAGACTGCATTCCACAGCTCTTTAACCTTGCAGCCCGTAGCCCTGCAACCCACACCTCTGTATCCTACAACACCCTATCCTTGCACCCACAGCACCCCATCCTTGTAACCCAGCTCCTACAACCCTGTATCCTTGAAAATTTGCATCCCACAGACTTATACCCTTGCAGACTGGCTAGCAGAGCCACATATCCTTGTATCCCACATCCCACTGCCTCGTATCCTTGCAGCCTGCATCCCACAGCCCCTTATCCTCATAGCTCCCATCCCAAAGACCTGTACTGCTTCATCCCACACTCCCAGCCCTGAGTCTGTGTACCCTTACAGCATATATCCCTGGTCCTGTATTCCTGCATCCCACTGCCCTGGACCTCTGCAGCCCACATTCCATACCTACCACCTCAGCCCTGTACCCCAATATCCTTAGCTCAGTATTCCTGTATCCTGAAGTCCTGTGCTCTTGCAGCAAACATTTCCAGCCCCGTACCTCTGCATTCTTGTATTCCTAGCCCTGTACCCCCACATCCCTATCTCAGCTCCATACCCCAATCCGACAGCCTTGTACTCTTGCGGACTGAATTCCCAGCCCTGCATCCCCACAGCCCTAACTCTGTAACCCTGCATCCCACAGCCCTGTGTTCTTGCATCCTAAATTCCCAGCCCCACATCCCCACATCTCTAGCTCTGTAACCCTGCATCCCACAGCCCTGTGTTCTTGCATCCTAAATTCCCAGCCCCACATCCCCACATCTCTAGCTCTGTAACCCAGCATCCCACAGCCCTGTGCTCTTGCAGCCTGAATTCCCAGCCCCACATCCCCACAGCCCTAGCTCTGTAACCCTGCATCCCACAGCCCCGTGTTCTTGCAACATTCCCAGCCTGCACCCCCGCGTTCCCAGCCCTGTAACCCAGCATCCCCGCATCCCTAGCCCCATACCCCCGCATCCCACAGCCCAGCGCTCTCGCAGCCTGAATTCCCAGCCCCACAT